ACACTTTTGGGTGCCAAAGGAAATCATTTCAAACATAAAGAGCACCAAGAAGGTTTGGATTCCAAAAGGGAAGTGAGAAGTCCGATGGACTTCGGAGAATTTGGAGACTTGGCAAAGTTTGGGTGCATTTTATGGGGTGCATCATTATGGACAAAGTCATTGCCAAGTGGGTTAGTGAATACTATGGATCCAAATTCTCATTCCCATGTTAGGTAACTAGATGTAATTTCTTTCAATTTGTTTAGCATCTAGTTATTTTTCATGTCTAGGTTTGCATTTGCATGCTTATATCTTTTGTCATGCATACACTAGGTATATCTTATGGTAGGCTTGCTCGGTTTCACTTCTAACCCTTGGAGCAAACCTACATGGTTTAAGTTGTTTAGGAGCACGACACATAGCTTGTTTTTACAATTGTTCATCTAATATGTGCCAAAGTCCAAATTATAGATAATTTCTCCCGAATGTTACTTTCGAAAATGATTCTCACATTCATGTGATGTCATCTTTCAAGTGGTATTTTTTATTATAAAATCAATGTGCATGTCTCCTACAAGTATTCTATACTTGTATGCACAAATTTAGGGGGAGGTTACTCTACAAGTTGGATGCTTTGAAACTAACACATTTTCAAGCTTATCATGTGTGTATTAGTCTCATTGCAAGAAAAATAGAGTCCCCAGAGTTAAGCATCATACTTTAAATATCCACCACCTATTGCAAGTGGTAGAAATCAAATTGGTTTCCACATGTGGTATTTCTAAACCGATATCATGTTGATTTCACTTTGGTATTTATATGCTTTCCCCATGCATTATATAGATTAAACTCCTTTGAGCATTAATTTGCTAATTATGCATAAACTACATTCTTCATCATATGTATGCATATATTTATGGGGGGCTTAGTCTATGTAATGTGAGAGTCAAATTTTGTGACCTATTCCACTCCATATACAAAGCATTAATTTGCGTTGTTGTCGTGTCCGTAGGACTCGCTCGTAAACCATCCCGTTCGGCTCGATTTGACCCGCCCCCATCCGCGCACCCTGCCCCCATCCGTTTGCCCCGTCGTGCCCCCGACCGCCGGCCCCCAACGCATCACGCACCACGTCAGCCGGCCAGGTTCACCGCGCCCCATTCCCCGTCGCCCATGCCGTGCCACCATCACTCCCATGCGCCCCCAGACTCTCCGAACAACATGAAATTAACACTTGACTGCAATATACGTCTAAACAGATTAAACATCTAGAACATACAATTACAACATATGTGTGAAAACAAATGCAACATCCAGATAGAACACTTGCAACTTTCACCATGAAAAACACTTGCTACAATGAAAGACTGGAAGAGATGAAACATTTAGAACATACTGTTGTAACATATGTATGAAACATATGCAACATCTAGATCAAAACGCTTGTAACATCCGTCTGGAACAGATGAAAGATTTTGAACAAACTCTTGCAACATGTTTCTGAAACACTTGCAACATATGCAATATGTGCAATATCCCCAATCTACTTTTGCAACATCCATATGAAACAATTGCAACATACCTCAGAAACGTTTGAAACACTATAAACATATATTTACAACATAGGGGAGAGAGAGCGTCTGTGCTGGTCAATTTCAGTCGTCGGGGTGGCAGCCGGTGGTGCGCGAACACCACTAGCATCCAGCACCAGCGGCCCGCGCAAGCACCACCACCACCAGCATTGTGCTTGGGTCGGCCGGGCGAGCGGCATGCGCGACGGGAGGGAGCGGGCGGCGCGCGCGACGGGGCGCGAGCTAGCGGTGGCAGATGGGGAGCGCAGGAGCAGGGAGGGGAGTGCACGTCCACGTCCGAGACGGGGCAGCCGCAAGGCGCTGCGACAGGGGAGGAGAAAGCGGAAGGGATAAGAATGGGTGGGATTTTTTTTAATAAATTCACGAGCAGAGCGAGCGGCGGGGCAAAAACGCAAGCAACGAGACGGTGGGCCTGCGGGAGCATCCGACGATTTGCTCGTGTCAGACGTAAGACATGCAGCATTACCGATAAACTTTATGTATAACATGGTTTCTGCATTGAACAATGTCAATCTACTTGTGCTGCCAGATATCAGTGCTATTTGTTCTGCAAATGACTGATGCATATTTACGATTTAGGTACACGTACGTGAAAATGAGGTTCAGCCTAAGAGGAAAAATATGCGGGTTTTTAATAAAAAAAATATCATTACACAAATACGAGTTGAAGATAACTCGGACGTGGATGGTTAGAATGTACGATCATAGTATCTCCCACCTCCAATCAAAGCTAGATTCACTTCCTACAATTTAGGTACACTAGAGGGAGTTGTTGGTTGAGTTCCATATTGTTCTTGTTCCAAATTGCTATATACTATAGCATGCCGACAAGGCAATGCAATGATGTGGTAGATGCTCGCCCTAGTTTATTTTTTTTAGATAATGAGAAGAAAAATCTGTCTTTGGACTTTCTCTTTTTTTGAAAATAAATCAAAACATAGCTTTTACAATATATAGTCACATGTCCCAACATGAGTGTAGACAAGGCATCACTTATATACACAAGAAAATCAATTAACAAAAAAGGAAGAATTATTTCAGTTGTTTTGTGACGTTGACTCCTAGCACCCACCCAGGGGGCAAAGTTCTATAGTGTAGGGGGTTGAGACTTAAGATCGAGCAGCAGTGTTGTTCAGCCCCCCTAAAATATTTCCTGGATCCGCCGCTGCACCCACCCTCCCACCAATTAGAGTGAGAGCCGAACTGGAGCTTAAGGCAAATTATTTCCATGTGAAAAGATACTCCCTTAGAAGTTTAAGAGACTCTTTATGTCCTTGATTTATAGGAATAGAAAATTATATGAATAGAGATTTTGGTGAAAAAAATACACTCCAGCAGCCTCTATAAATGAATCTCCAAATATAGACATCCTCTATTCTGAATTTCTTGCTAGCCAAAGATGGAGAGTGGAGATAGATTTCTAAAAAAAAAAATTGGAGAGTAGAAAGATGAAGAAAACAATTTTTATTTAAATGACTCTCCAAATAATAATTTAAAGAGTAAACTTTAGAAAAACTTTTAGAAATGCTCTAAGCTAGTTGAAGCCAGGACCAATAAAACAACACAATGCCAATATTACTGGCCTCATGACCAAGCAAAGGCCCCGTGACCAAAACTTAGTCAGAGATAAATCAGATGGTTTCAAAAACTGGAGGAATCTTTAAATCTATATTTTTATTGAAAGAAAGCAAATCAGACTTTCGCAATAGTTCAAAAAGGTCATATCGACTTTTTCCTTCATTTACTTGTACATCAGTACTATTGGATGATGCTAAAGGCCGGAGCCTTCTTTTCCTTTATGTAAAAAGAGTTGACGATATGACATTAAAACCATAATTAACATGTAACATTTAGTTTCGAAGACATAAAAAATCATAAAGATATACTGTCACAATATCATAAGTTACTAGCTTTTATAAATGCATTCCAGAATTATTAACAAAACTGCACATCGAAAAAAAAACTATCACTATCCAATAGTACATGAAAGCCCCCTTTGGTACGGCTCATCCAAAACGGCTTCACCGGTGAAACCAAAGCTGGTGAAGCCAGAAAAACTGGCTTTTTCCCGACTTCTAGTTCATTTTAACCCCGGCTTACAAAACGGCTTCACGCTACAGTGCCTCGATTTGCGCAAAATAGAAGAAGTCGAAGCCGGCATAAGCCGTGCCAAAGAGGCCCGAAATATAAGAAACTAATAAGGGGAGTAAACCGCGAGCAACAACCAACACTTTTATACATTTCTATTTATGTGCAGAGTAATTCCTCTGTTCATTTCAAATACATCTGTGCGACTGTTCATTCCCCGGTACAAGAAATAAAGAATGAGAAGAAAAAAAAACTCATTCTATTCAGAAAAAAAAACTATCCTAATCAAAATCCCAGGGGAAAACTAGTAAATATCTGTTTCACTACACTCTCTCTCTCACACACACACACACACACTTCTGCAGCATAGTATAGTGCCCCCGTTATCTCAACCTGTGGTCTGTGGATGGTAGAGCTGCCAGAAGTGAGAGAGAGAGAGAAATATATTTCATGGTGCATTTATTTAAGGTCATAGACGATCGGTACTATTTCCTATGAAGTTGGTCAAAACTTAAAATAGTAAGCTTAGGACAAAAGGTTAATTTATTTTGGGATCGAGTATATGACATTTTATTTAATAGCCGAAGCACGCGAGCATGTATACGGCATTCTAGATGAGCAATCAATAATCAGCTAGTAGAAACTTTAAGTTCTTGCAAAGAATCCAGACAACCAAGAGCTGATAAATTCAAGGGTACATACAATGTAACACATAAGCAAAACAAAAAACAAATAATGTAACAAACGCACCTCGGCATTCGCTGCAAACAGTACCTTTCATAAGGTTTATAGTACTACAGATGATCCCCGATCGGAACAATAGAAACAACACTATCAACATATTGTTGAGAACCTAAACCTAATCAGCCATTAGTGAATAGGATAACAACAAACGAATTAATGGCTATCCCCGTTCGCGTGCCCTTAAACCCTGCTTGATCCGTTTATTTTTTTATCTGGAACAGTATTTTTCTCTCACAAATTTCTTCAGCATTCCTCCAAACTATCCAGATTCCTCCAAAATTCAGACAAGCGAACAGGCCCAGTGGGACTACACCTTACCGGCCCACCCATGTCCTTCATAGACAAACAGTACAGCTCAAAAGCAAAAATGATCCGAGCTAGTTTCTGAATAAACCTCTCAACGGCACCACCATACCATATGCTTTCTCAACAATGCGCTACTCTCAGCTGCAGAGAATGTGCAATGAAATATTATGTTTCACTGGAACATCCATCATGCCAAAAAGCTCTACTTACGTTCTGTTCTGTCAATGATACAAACGGCAACCGAAGGTAAGATATAAGATGGCAGCTTCCCAGTTCCCACCTGAGTATAACTCAAACAATAGCCCAGAATTTCTTCCTGCAAAACAGAACTTGATCTGTCCTGCTTTCCTCATTTTCCAACATGTGCACAGTAACATCCCAAAGGAACTTCGGTGCTAGATCGATGATTCTTGAGAGAGTGTGATTCTCATCTCTAATAATGACAAAACCCTGTATGTTCAGAATTTGGCAGACAATGATGAGCATTCTCTCTTAACTAAATTGCTCTAACGACTACATAAGCATATTTGCTACATTGTTTTTGTAAAAAAAGGGATAGAAAGATTATACTACACAAGAAAGTTTCTGAATGGAGAAACAGGTAGCTTCTGCTTTATACTACATTTTGTCTATGAAAGGCCAATCATTGAGGAACAGGTTGACACTAAATTTCCATGGACAAATTGTTTCTTTTCACAATGAATTGGATGTATCTATGAGGTGCTTGTCATATTGTTTAATGGTCGGCATGTTCACTCATACAGAAATTAGTTTGTAATGGAAAAGACATACTGCTTTGGCTCTTTGAAGATATAGGTATATAAGCTAGTTTATATATGTAATACATTTTTATTTCACAGAGGATACATGTAACTATGAAACGGCCGTACACCAAAGTATTTGATGACAAAAACATGGCCTGGCTTAGGATTCTGTTGTGTATGAACATGATACCAACTTTGCTATTGCAAAATTAAAAAGCCCTTTGTTATTGCAAATATAAGCAGAAATACATTCTTGAAAACATGGACATCAGTGAATAAGAGATGCACTTTAGTATCTATAATAATCGTCCATAATCGACTAAAAGGCAATATCTACCTGGGGTCGAATGATGCGATCCATTTCTAACATGATATCCTCCAACAAACAATCTTCCTTGCGACCTTTATAATGAGAAAAGAGGTGGAAAGCATGCAACAAGTCATAGGATCTAGGATATGTTGAGAATGGCTCACACCTGCAACATAAATATAGAATGATTTCACTTTCATCATAAACAAGTGAAAATTTATTCATTGATTTTGGAAGAAATACCAACCAGTCATGGTAAGAACCGAGAAACCCACGGTCGTAGATAACTGGCAATGTGTTCGGCATGGTATGGGGTACTATATTCATAATCCAGACAGGGTCACTGCTTAGTGCTGCAGCAAATCCGCCATAATTAGCATTCATGTCCATGACGTTTCGAATGCTAGTCTTTTCAACACCAAGAAATGACCAATACTTGTGAACCTGGTTCTTCCAGAACTGGTTATTCTTCTCAAACCTCTCTGGTGCGACTCCTAAAAAATAAGTTCCAGAAAACCGGTTATATTCACAAAAAGGCAATACAAATTTAAGCCAAGGGATCAAACTAGATTTACATCAAAGGTTTCAGTCACTTCAGGTAAACAAGTTTAAAAATCTTAAACACCTAAGACATTCTTTTGATTGAATTTGGAGGACATCATTCTTATTTCTTACACTCTTTATAGCACAGAATGGAACTTGACTCAATTTGTAGCATCAAAACAGGTCTTATATTTTTTTTCTTAGGAAATGGAAAAATGGAGCTGACCTATCATCTCCAAACTCTTGAAATAAAATGATAGGCGATCAGATCTGGAAGGCAATTTCTGAATATTGGATTTGTCCTTGTTGAGCTTCACACAATTCATTAACGGAATTTTCCATGATGGTGAAACGTTGTCATTGGATTCACAAATATTCAGTAGCTTCATATCAGCCTTTTTCTGCCGGCAGGATTCATCTTCAGGTTTAACCCAAATAGCTGTTTGAACATGCTTAGCAATAAGCTTCCAACACATTGTTGTTGTAATATTAACTAGCTTCTCCCAGATAACAGGAAAGTCTTTATCTTTTCTATAAGCCGGTGGAGCAGAGTATACAAAATATCCATTAGGTCGCAAAAGACGGTCTACCTCTTTGAGCAATATTCCATCTGGAAAATAAATCATGGGTGATCAATCAAATTTTGGATGATGTATCTAGAAAGTAGAATTTGTAAAGAAAAGATTATCAGAAGAAGTAACTTTCTAAGGAAACTATTGACCATCAAAGATTACAGATACTTAAGTTGAGAACAATTGAGTTTTAACTTTTAATGAAGATTATTTTTGGGTCAGTAGCTTATGACAAACTGAAATGTGAATCTTACCATTTTCATGCCAATCAACACGACACCTTGAACAGTGAACCATTTCAAATGAACTTTCAGGATAAGGTAATTGTTTTGTGGCCAACACAGAGATCATTGCACCAATCCCACGTTCTAAAGCAAACTGGATTTGATTCTCATGGCCATCTTTTGGAGCAAATGACATGGTTTGAATGTCTAGGGGAAGAAGATAAGCAGAAAAGCTAGCAACACCACATCCAACATCCAAAACTTGAACTACTCCGGCAGAACGGAGATCACCAGTACTATTTGTTGTCATATTTCCTAGCCTGCATTGATCAATTACAAAAACTACATCAACAGAAAATCCTTTCACAAAATAAAAAGTAGGCAGTAGAACGAACCATATATGACTAATTGTTGCTCCAAATTATGTCCCTTCACTGCTCATACTCTTCGTTCCTAATTACTCAAGGGAATCCTCCCAATAGGTTGTTCGCTCAAGAATATACAATGCTAGAGCAAAATTAATAACATTCAACATTTGCTACAAGCCTAAAAGGCATCACATCTGACAATCATCTAGATGAGGTAACAAGCATTGGATTGCAAATTATACATTAATGACCATGGGAGATAATAATACTATTATACAACTATCAAGCTTAAACGTTACACTTTGGGATGTGAGTTAGGCAACAATTCTAGTTACCTCTCTATGTACTCTGATGCACCATGTTTGAAGTGAGTGCCACCTCCAGGAAACCACCAAAGCTTGCCCTTCTCATGCACCCAGTTCTGTCCTCCTTTGACCTCAGCAAGATGTGAATGGTTGACATTACTACGCCATACGTAGTCTCGGCTTGTTGGCCATCTTATTGGTATCTTGTAGTCATTTGGAGGGGGCACCAAACAGAACAATCGTTTCTCTCGTGGAGGACAAATACTTTCAAGATCCTCATGCCTAGATCTATCCAGGTTCTTCAAGCTTCTTATATAGGCTGCATCATGGCAGGGGACATACTCATTGTATTCCAAAGGACACACATCAACTCCATGATCTGGAACTGCGACTGGTTTCGCCCGGTACTTGCGAGAAACTCTGTTTGTAAACATTGGAACATCTGCAACTGAAAAGCAAACAGATTTCACCATATGGGCATGGAAACATAATGAAAAATACCATTCATCTGGATATGGTAAGCTAGGATGATGGGACAAGTCGACAGATCAGCAATCTAGTAACATCCCGTTCGGCTTGCTGAAACTTGGCTGAATTGGCTGAAAAACACTGTTCTGGCTGAATTGTTGCGAGAGAAAAATACTGTTCCGACTGAAAAAACAAGCTGAATAGTGTGGATTATAAGGTAAGCCGAACGGGGACATAATAAGTTGCTGCAGTTGCAAAGAGTAACAATGTAAAAAAAAAAATCAGACATAGCACCTACTCAAATGGGTCAAGGCCTAGTATTTGGCAAATTATGAATTACTTTAACATACTGGCCCGGACTCTATTGACCTAATTCTTTGTTGCTGGCAGAAAGCAAGTCCCAAATCTCAATCAAACTATTCCCGCAAACTACCGTCTACTCAAACAAGGTATAGAGAGCAATCCCTAGAACCAATCGCCTAACAAGCGCCCCTTTTACTAACAATGCAGGAGCGTCAACACGAAACCTGCAACCATAAACATAGAATCCGCCACACAAATTTCAACCATAGCAAGGAACCATAAGCCGCTTCTTCTAAGAAGCGGCGACGAAGTGGACTGAAAAATGCCATCGACGGCGGATCGCGACGGCGGCAAACGCTCGAGGAGACATGACGATAGGCACCTTTGGCACTGAAGGAATCGGGCGATCGGGGGCGCGAAGGGGGCAGTACGAGCGCAGGGGACGCGGAGGAGCCGAAGAGGGTGCCGGCGTAGAAGGAAGCGGCGACGAGGGCGACGCCCAGGAGCAGAAGCTGCACGGACCGCGGCTCCACAGCCGCCGACGCCGGCGACCACCACCGCCCCATCTCACTGCTGCTTCTGTCAGAGTCTCGCGCTTCAACACTCCCGGTACATGTACATCTTGCTTCAGTTTTTTTTTTTTTTTTGATCGGGCATCTTGCTTCAGATTGACGGTACGAATGGCTCTCTGACTTTTATAATGTTTTTATTTATTTTTACTTTATACAAACATATATAATGCCTTTTTAAGCCCAGATATGCAATCACCACGAGGTACTTTATGTAACGAATTTGAAGTTAGTTCAGGTGATCATTCGATGAACCAAGGGAAGAACTAAAAGGTTATTTAATAAGAATTGCATATGCACAAACTTTAGGGGTCTCACTGACCAATAATATATATTAGGAATTTAATAGAGAATGCCGCGCGTTACCACGAGATTTTCTTAAAAATAAATCTTTCATATATATTATTACTATATGGTATTATGTATACTGTGTATATATAAATTTGACTTGCATATTATTTTATTATATCAGATCTGATAAAAAATCGATAAGCTAATAGAAAAAAAACAATAGAATATTTGATCATATTATAGAAGATTGGTGATGAAACAAATAGCATATGTAGATAATTAAAAGTATTGCACATAATTGAGATGATGTGGACATTTTTTGTAATTAATAAGTGATGACATGTATAGCTTGCATAAAAGGATTACAAGTTAATGGGACACTTAGTGAGAAATGATGTGGACATCTTGTATGAAGATAGAAAACATCTAGTAGGGTTTAGCTTTATAAGAGTATAAGATTTCTAAAAGAAAAGGTCGAAGTTTAACTTGGATTTTAAAATGGGCAGTGCTAGCGTCGGCGGGGACTGCCCGCAGCCGCTTCCCGCGCCCGCCGCCGCGCAACACTCCATTCTCCGCTTCCCAAATGCATGCACGGTGTCCAGCAGCTGCAGCAGGCAGCTATAATAGGTAAGTCACACTGCAACGTTATAACATCCGATCTACTTTTGAAACATCCTACATGAAACTTGTGCAACATGCGTCTGAATAAAGATGAAACATGCGTCTGAAACACTTGCGAAAACACCTAAAAACACTTGAAAAGCCATTGCAAAACATATGCAATACCCTGGCGAAAACACTTGCAAACATATGTGCGAAACATACGCAACATCCAAATAAAAACATCTACAACATACGTTTGAAAAAAAACAGATGAAACATTTAAAATAGACCCTTGCATAGCCATTGCAACATATGCAATATCTCGATCTACTTTTGTAACATCTGACCCCGTTCGCTGGTCTGAAACTTGGCTGAAACTGGCTGAAAAACACTGTTTCGGCTGAATTGTTGTGAGAGAAAAACACTGTTTCGGCTGGAAAAAAGAAGCCGAACAAGCCGAATATGGGGTAAGCCGAACATGGCCTATACGAAAACACTTACAACATACCTCTGAAACATTTGCAAGAACTGAAACATATGTTTGCAACATAGGGGGGAGAGAACGAGGTTAGTCAATTCCGGCCGTCAGGGTGGGAGCCGGCTGCATGCGAGCAGCCCGCGCTCATGGGTGCCCCTTGGCTTGGCTAGAGACGACATGAGGCGCCCCGGCACCTGCGCCCGGCCGCCATCGACAGGGGCGGTGGTGACGCATCCTAACAGCACTAGGTTAGGGAAGAGATCGGGGAGGCACTGTACGAACTGAGGGAGGAAATAGCATGGTCGGTTTGGGTGGAGGAAGGAAGTGACAGTGGTGACGCGGGGCTCTGCTGCTGCCAACGAACACGAGAGACCTGGAGATGGGGAGGGCGAGACGGAACGGAGAGATAGGGAGACGGGCGAGGCGGAGTGGAAGCCGCGTCCGAACCGACGTGAGCGGACAGACGCCCGCGTCCAAGTATTTCCGTTTAGAGGGGGGGAAATGTGAACCGAAACTTTTAAACCTTGAGCACTTAAGTTCAAATTTGAACTCGGCGACCCCAAACTTTGTTGGTTGCACATTGCAACTTTTAACAACACTGCTAGAAGTAATTATTCACAAGTTTGAACCAACGAATGTTCATCAATAGTATGTTTTTTTACTAAATAGAATGTTCTTGACTAACACCCTGTTCGCTTGATCGTTTCTGTGGCTTATAAGCCAGCTCATGTTGTTTTGTTGTGAGAGAAAAATACCATGTCATGGCTGATAAGTACGGCTAATACGAAGCGAACAGGACGTTGAGTGACTAAAATAGATTTCAACGTGCTTTTGTTCACACACCATTTATAGTCATGTTTTTAGGTTGTTGAGTGACTAAAATAGATTTCAACTTTAGTCCAAAATGTGGGATACGCTGATAGCATCTCGTATAAGTATATTGTAACAGTAAATCATTAGGAAAATTTTATTGTATGGTCCTTCGAACAACGAACTACAGTAAGTCTCACAAAAAATACGAACTTGTATGAACTTGATCACAGAAGTTCCTTTTGCCTTTTTAACCTCTACTTACCGACCACTTCCACGACTCTGATGCATTTGTAAAATGGCACCTTTTTCAGATATTTCACGAATCAGAGTTCCAACGATACAAAAACTAGACAGAACCACAAGACACTCTGTACGGTGTACGCTAACCATTATTTTCAGAAACAAATACAATTCCTATTTCATATGTATAGACTATGCGGAAGCTCACCCGACCCCTCAAAAAATCAATGCCTACAAGATGATACAGATGCAAGATTGAACCGGAGACATGTTAGGTGGTGGCCTGAGACAATGCAGAGCCAATCTGAAGCATGAGAGGATACACCGGACTGAATTCCTTTTCTCCTCGAGACCTGACCCTCGTCTCGTAGTCGTCCAGGGTTGCTTTCACCCCCTTCCAAATCTGGTCCTCACCTTGTGAATCAAGCCATAGAGAGTACTGCAAAGGTGTGAGCTTGTTGCGCTGTAATGGCGACTGCAGCTCATCAGGCCCTCGAGAATACAGGTGGTGGAGGATCACACTTGGCGGCAAGTCCTGAAGGAGCGGAGACTTCTCAAGCTGCGACATTTCCAGGAACAGGACAGGACGGAATGCCCGTAGTGCCCGGTATGGTGCCCCCAGCTGCTCCACTGGAAACAGGTTCTGACCAACAGCAAGCTCCAGCTCAGCCATGTCCCGTGCCATTCTCAACTTCCCTGCTTCTGAGAGTGGCCTGACAAGAGAAGCATGCCTTATAAAAAATATGAGGACCCTTGAGGCCATCCTTCTAACCATGATGGTACATATGGTTTCTGAACGAGAGGATGATGAAGGCAACAGCTTCGATAAGAACTCGCTGCGGAAGTGGACAGCACATTTCTGAAGCTCTTCCATGTAAGCTGATGCATTGTTATCCATGGCTGCATCCATTCCATGACCTGAAAAGTCCTGTTCATGCATTTTCAGGATGCATGACTCGAGACGATCAAGCATCGCTTGGAACAGGGAAGTCACTGAATCACAAGCAACACCATAAACAACACCAAGGGAGGGTGAAAGGACTTCAGAAGCAACATTTGGGAGTGTTGACAAGACGCTAGAAATGCGCATGTGAACCTCCTGAAGGTGAAGACACAAAGCAAAGTTTTTGAGTTGGGCTGCAGTTGCTGTGCCGGTAACTTGTCGAGCTTCAGGGCCAGTAGAGATCTAGATTTGCAGAAAACATATGTTAGAAACTGAACATGGAAACTAAAGCAGTGTCTAGCAACCAATATATGTAAGATGGACCTTGACACATTGTACAAGCATGCAAGAAAGAATGGAGCAAAGGTAAAAGTTATTATCTATGCATGTGAAGTGGCTAGCTAGACAATTGAACAGTCAATAAGAAATCGGCAAAAAAACAAAAGAACGCATACAATCCATGTAAACTGCAATGATATGCTGCAATGGTACAGGTCTTTTACTGAAGGGTAAGCATAATGATCCAGCCTTTCCCCAGGTGAAGGGTGCAGGACAGAAAAAAAAAGTACTCAGTCTACACATTGACTTGAAAGTGAAGCCAAGTCGTGCACAAGACAATATAGATGTGTACAGCAGAGTGCCATAACAATTGAAGTGTATTTTGATAACTATGGTTTCTTTACTTCTGTAACCAATAGGTGACTAATCAGAACACAACATAAGCTTAAGTACACCATATTGACTAACAGGTTTCACTCAGTGAAGTCCAAAAATCAATGAACTGAGCCAAATTTGCACAGCGTATTTTTGGCCTTAGAGAGTAAGCATGATTCATGAAACTAGTGTTATTGTGCTAGCAAAGGTTTTCAGAAGAACACAAAGGAAACAAGTGACTCAACATAATTAAAAGCACATAGTTAGACAGATTTTAATGCAACAGATTATGTTTGGTTGCCAACTAACGTTGCCACACATTCTTGACCTGTTGAGAACTCATGGGCATTTGCTTGTTCTTGTATAGCTAACCTAGGTTAGGCAAAATTAGGCAAGAAATCAGAATCTATGACATGAGGGGCAGGTGGCTAAGAAGTTAGGCAGACTGTGTTGTAGAAGGAACCAAACATTGCCTACTCACTGTGGCTGCCTAAGGTTAGGCGTGGAATTTAGGTTCCAACCAAACAGATCCTTGGTAACTCAATTACTCAAAGAATTATGAAGAATCGTCCCACATAAGATATGGAGCTAACAGATACAGCTAGAATCGCCAAAAAAACATTGGTCAGGCTTCAACTAATATTTGGTTACAATCAGTGAAGCTGGTCTGCCAAGAAGAGAAAAACAGTAGTGGAATATGGTATACATAAGTTTCAAGTCATAATGTTACATCAGAACTTACTAGTTAAACCTACCACAAGGACTATATTTACTCATAGATAATGAAGAAAGCATACAAAAAATCCACAGAAAAAACGTATACAAATAACTTGACTTGATCATTAAAGGTAGCAAGTGGATACCTGATATTCAGCTCTCTGTGCTAAAAGAAGCAAGGTCTTTCCAATTTCACGTAGAACAAGAACAAGCAAATGCCCATGAGTTCTCAATACTTCGATTTCCTCTTGTATGCGA